CTCATAAAGTAGTTTTTTGCATTCAGATATTTATCAATTCTTTCTGCTTCACTAAAACCATTATTCCCATGGCTGAGAAGAAAATGAGAAGAAAATGAGATGCCATGCACTCATTGCACTGCTAGGGCTTATCATTTAATGTAGCTTTTGGTGTTTACTTGGAACATGGGCTTTCGATCAAGAGCTTGGAGCAGGAATGCAAAAAATGAATGTTGGCTACATAACTGTAGCCAGGATGAGGCAGACAAGGCGCTTGCCTCATCACTTTTTTAACAGGTTTGAAAATATATTTTGCCTCGTCATTTTTCTTCCTGACATTGCCACTGCATACAGGTAGAAAATAAAGGGCCATATGATAAGGACTACATAGTCTAATTGGATTAAGATTATTTATCAAGAAATCATCTCAGAATTTAGAGTATAAAAAACAATGTACATGTAATCTTGCCAAGTCCTTGTGACCACCCCACACACTCTGAGGCTGTTGTGATGGGTAGAAGTCCTCATAGTCTTCTTCCATGTAAACAGCTCTCTTAATCTACCACACCAATTTCTATGCTTGGTTCACCCCAGAAACAATATTTCATGAGATCCTTTTATAGCCAAGAGATGAATCTTTGAAGAAATAAATTATGGAACACTGATTGGCTGTCTCTGTTTTAAGGCACAGAGAGTAATATCTGTGTGAAATTGATTCTATTAGAGCTACATCACATCACTCAGATTATTCCACTTCACTTGGTCAACCATGAATAGAATGTCATTGCAGGTCAGGCTTTTAATTAAAAAATATTAGGTAGGAAAGCAAGAAGTCAACAAGTAATGAGACCTTAATGGATAGGATGGCACAATAACCCTAATAGTATATCTCATCCTTGATCCAAAGGTTCATGTACAGTATTCCAATGCCTCCAATTCCTTTCATAAGACCTGGGTCAGTGATGCAGGTCAAAGATTCCTGACAGCAAAGGAAAGAAGTGAAACACTAATAAGGATGCTTAAGTACAGAAAAATTACTATTTATTTATTCATAGGTTTAACGAGAATCTTGACCATTTGATGTGAGATATTTGATGTATGATATACAGTATAGAAGTACATCATTCTGATACTCAGACCATCTCTGCAATGCACAAGCATTCTAGAAGGAAACTGAGAGAATGCTGTGATATCTCACGATGGAAGTATATATTGGATATCTTCTTACTCATCAATTATTGGAAGATTAAGGAGGAGTGCTGTTATTAAACATTACATTTACATCAGAGCTCCATACAACCCCCCCCCCCAGGTATACCAGATACTTTACACAAGACTCTAGTCTCCTTTATTTTGTGTATATTTGGATGTTTTAAATGTTTCCCCATGTGCCAAGCTTAATTCAGCACATATTACATAACATCACTTTCAAACAATTCCCATTGTTATTCTGTTAAAATAGATCTGGAATGGTGATCCAAGAGTAGATCTACTCCAGATTCACCATGTTAAATTACTAATACTCATCTGTATGGCTCATCATTACATTACAAAGTACTACAAGCAGATGGGGTGGAGTGCTTTATGCTCTACTCTAATATGCAACTAATCTTGGTAATTATGTATCTCTCCTCCAGTGGTAGAAGATTATATTTTCCAAGAACAAGATGATTCACCACATCAGAGATATTGATCATCATGTTGGTATTGCAAATGCCAAAGATGTCAGCCTTACAACCTACAGATAATATCTTAAGGGATCTTGCCCAAATGTTGACATTTTCAAAATTTTGATTTCTAATTCTCTTGATTTTACTTCATTCAAATTTTATTTTCAATAATTCAAGCTGACATTTTTAGTTTATACTGAAGTTAGATCAGACCTTTATGTAGAACTGCAAAGTTTAATAGTCTAGGTAAAAATATACATTTTCAAAAAAGACATTGTCTCATAACCCCACCCTAAACATAAATGATTACATTTTTCACAGCTGTAACTACTTTGACATGTTCCCCAACCAGATTGCTTGATCGAAAATGTTTTAGGCTTGGTCTATAACCACATGGATACAGTAACTTAAACTGTTAAAATAGAAAAATACCATTTATTCATGTTAAGAAATAAAAGTATGCATATCAACTAAAACACAATCTTGACAGACAAATCATAAGATGGAACGTGTGCAGAATTGTGGTCAAATAGACCATCGTTTTTTGGAGGTAGTAAATGTCATGATCTTAAAGTAAAAGCATTGGGCAAACCTCAATTTATGATATCAGTTTCTTTGAAAAGACATCAACTACAGGCAGGGGCATAGCCAGCTTTCAGTCAGGGGGGTGTGATCGCCAATTTCGTTTCGGTTTTCAGTCGGGGGGGGGGGGGGGGGGGTGTGATTGCCAAAATTCGTTTTGCTTTTCAGTCAGGAGGGAGTGCGATCATGGCATAAACAAGGCAAAAAAATTGGAATGTTTAAGATTTTTTACAAAAATTGATGTAACTTCCTTCAAACCTGAGCTAGAAGCTTTAAATAAAAAACATCCTAAAGCTCTTTTCGTCTTCTATCTTGTGGTTCTATACCCTGCGTGCAGAGTCTAGTTAAACTACACTCTGCTTAGTAGAGACCATATTACAGTTTAGTAGCCCCGCCCCATGACGGGTACCGGTGACAGTATGGGTAAATCACTTTTGACCTACGCGCTGACCTTCCACCAATCAGCGAGCTTGAAGAAACATACGGCAAATGCGTTCTTATTAAATATGCGCATGTCATTGGTCAATTCCGGGCTCAACGATTACGTCAGAAGGAATGACCATATAAAGAACGTCGGTCAAATTTGGCCGACGAACACTGATTGGCGCGGTGAGTTCACAGATTTATTTTAGTTTGAAAGAGTGAAGACGAAGCTCTCTTTTAAGAAGTGTAGTCAAACGAATGCAAAGGGTAGTGGTTCTATTGTTATTGGTTATGGGCACCCAGCGCAACCCCCCCACTTGCTACGCCTATGATAGGTACATGTATTTCTTCTACTGTAGTGGCAACTCCAAGCTGGCTTATGCATTTGATTTATGAGTGACAAACCCTTCTCTTTAGACAATGTCAACTCTGAGTGCTTCTTCATTAGGATCATGCATATGAGTCACCAAACAATATTCATCTCAATGAGAACACAAAAGAAAAGGACAGTCAAAGATAAACATACTACATGTTTGTACTCTGAGCCCCATAACTTATAAAGAACAAAACACAAAAGACCAAAGATGACCAAAGATGTGACCCTTTTGCAGAACTCATAAAACCAACAGAATTCCTAAAAGATTAGCTTTCTATCAAGCTCAGTGTTTTCCAACCATTCTGCCTGTCTAACAAGTACTAGTTTGTTGGGAAATTAATAGGAGGATGACCGATTGCATCTCCATGCAAAACTCCCAAAAAGTCATGTTCAGTGTTCAGGAACAAATAGAAAGTCACTTCATACAGGAAGGAAAAGGGAAATATCTACTTTTCAAGAGACAATCAAACCCTTTTAACTCTTTCCTTTTTGCAATTTCATTGATCTTACTAATACCCCCTAAGTGTATTTACTGAATCAATGAGATCAGAATGCATTAAAACCAACCATTTTAGATCTTGAGAGATCCAATATAAATTCCAGTCCCATGCTGTAGTTATAACAAATGCAAGGCTTAGAAATCTGTGCAACAACATTGCATGGTGGGGAAATAGGTCATAAAACTTGAAAAAAAAATTTGGGGCAGGCTGTTTAGATCATGATCTACTCCATCTTGTGCTTTAGCATTATCAAATATCTACTCAATGATTTCTATATAAAACCTCAGGCAAAATCCTGCAAATGTCCTAGATGAATGAGGACCCTAGAGGACAGCTCAAAACCTCTTCATGCTTTTACAGATAATTAGATTTTTAGAGCTCAGCTAACAGGTTTTCATCATCTGAGAAAGATACTTTTATGGGCAGAAAATGTAATATCATGATTTTCCGAATACATATGGGCTTCATAAACCAAACGATTAATTTTAAGGGTGAAAGCAAAATTGAGCTCCTGTGAAGAGCAAAATAGGAGATAATCTAGAGAAATTAAAGCAAGAGCACGGTGATCTTGTAACATAACTGAGGTTTTAGCAGGTAATAAGTAATTTGTTGACATCTAAAATTAGATCTGGTTTCTCAAGGTGGAACATCATTTTGTAATGTTATTCATGAGAATATACAGTATGTTTACCATGGAAACTGTTCAATTTGTATTTTTTAAATCTCTATTCCATATTATTCTGTGTTTGAAAATTAATACTACATTTCCATTTTGAGAATTTAGCATTTTTACAAGGAGATGACTTAATAGATTGAAACCTTCTATAGGTATTCACAATCAATGTGACTTCCAAGCAGACACAGGTGTATGCTACATGTAGCCGCAGTTACTGTCAATGTCAATGCTTTGGAACCATGATTTGTCATATACTGTTAAGCCAGCATATTCCTTCAGTCATATGACTTGTAATACCTTGATGGATTGCCTGAAGATGGATACTTGTCCAGCAACACATTTGATACACCAAGAAGTCATTGAAAGCTCTTAACCCTGTGGCAAAGTTTCTTCCAATAGGATGTGTTTCTCCTATGATGAGATGCTTAAGAGTATTTGCATGGCGATTGATAATTTAAGGCCATATTTCTATCAAGAGATGCTGAAAAGACATAACTAAGGCCATGATTGATAAGTGATAATTTTGCCTGACTTGTTGTAATTTAGTTTTCATAGGATGAACCGAATTCTAATCAACAACACTGAAAAATATATTTCCCAGTAAACTTCTGTGATAAAGATATATCAGGAAGACATTAAAACATCAAAAATATCACAACCTGCATATAATTACACAAATGATGATGCTGACACAGAGACAATGGTCACAAAAACATTATGGCTATTTGCAATATGTCACTACTTCTTAGCGGAGATTTTTAACAAGGGAGTATTTGTATCATTTATCTACTCACCAACACAATCAAAGCCATCATGGTGTAGTGAGTAGCCATGCTTGCATTCACAGTGGTATCCTCCTGGTGAGCTTTCAACACAGATATGTCTGCATACAGAGTGTTCTTTACAATGTCCTGGAATGAGAAATAAATATTACTGAGAAATACAGATATGTCTGCATACAGAGTGTTCCTTACAATGTACTGGAATGAGAAATAAATATTACTGAGAAATACAGATATGTCTGCATACAGAGTGTTCCTTACAATGTACTGGAATGAGAAATAAATATTACTGAGAAATACAGATATGTCTGCATACAGAGTGTTCCTTACAATGTCCTGGAATGAGAAACAAATATTACTGAGAAATACAGATATGTCTGCATACAGAGTGTTCCTTACAATGTCCTGGAATGAGAAATAAATATTACTGAGAAATAAATACTATCATTTATCCGATGGATACTAAATATATACGGGGATAACAACACAAGATAATTTTGGTATTTGCCACTAAAATTGTGATATCTAATCGTAAATGACGGATACTATTTAAAAAATATTTTGAAAAATAATTTGAAAACAAAAACTTGAAAAGAAGTTGTGATAACCACTTGTCTGTTTGACAATAAAGTTCTAAGGTTATGTGCTCAGTAAAAATGAGTTACATTTTTTCATGCAATCATTTTATAAAAATAAGGTCATAGAAAATAAAATGAAAAAATAGAAAAGAATTAGAAAACAACAACTTTTAGGTCTACTTATTTGAAGTCCATATAAAAATAGCGACCATCGGATAAATATAATAAATATATAGGGAAGTGTTCTTTACAGTGAGATACATGTATGTTCTACTTTGCAGGTTTAACTGTATTGTATATGGCCTTATCTGTCTTAATAGATTTAATTTTCAAACATACATATGAATAAAAACGTGCAGAAATCATGGTTCAAACAATATAAATGAAAGTCCATGGTATTTTCTATATTGTTAAGAAAAAGGCATAATATAAAAGACGAAACATTTTTTGTGAATATTTATGGTCGCCATTACAGAGATTCATATGTAACATTTATTTCCCAAATGTATATGAAAATGCTCCATAAATCTCTATGAGTCCATCATAATGGTCAAACTAGCATGATGGGACTTAATTGAAGCCAGATGAAATGTTGTTCCCATATATCTAGCTAGTTGAGCATTCATGGTGGTTAAATTAACATGTTTCAATGCCCCTGTGTTTTCTTTATCTTGCTCACGATTTTAATTACAAGTTATAGTCATGTAGTGATAGTTTATTACTAAAATATAACTTTCTAAATGGCTGAAATGATGTCTTTGGTTTACAGAATGAATCTTAATTGAGTCATTAAACTCCTAAATTCGAAAGTTTTATTGTACTTATACTGCAAAAATGAATTAGTTTAGGCATATAAGATTGGGGATATGATACAAAAATTGGCACCATGAAAATAAGAGTAACTTAATCAGCAGTACATTCTGATTCATCAGACTCCCTGTTTATCTAATGCTTGGAAGGGTCACAGCACAAGCATTGTGGGATCCACAGTCACTTCCATCCCTTGGAATACACAAGCTTTATATAAAAGGAGACTATCATATTATATGAATGCATTCAGCACTAGTACTCCAAGAGTAATAGTAAAGGATGTGAATCCCATAACTTTATCAGAACATAAATCAAATCAAATTCTCTATTGTGACAGGTCAAAACCGGTGTCAACTAAATCACCATGTTAAGGTCTGTAAAACAAGGAACTGGTGTTGTTTTAAATGCCTTTGTAAATGTTTTTATCTTTAGGGCTTTAGTGTGCTAAAGTTTATTCAGATAGATGCACAGATATGATCTTCACTATCATTTCTAGCTGGAATACATTAGAAAAACCATCTGTCAAGTCTGCATGATATATTATTTAGCAATTTCAATCGACTGGTAAAATGAAAGAAACTTGTAAAACAGAATTCAGGATCTTGATGATACAAATGATCTCTACTTATGAATGTGTTGATAAAATGATGAGAATTTGAACTGAACCTTTATTATAAAATCTACAATTTAAAACATAAATACAAAATAAGTCATACATGTGAATACCATTGTTGTTATTCGATCAACTTAGAAATTTTGTAAAACATTTCATTGAGTAACACTTCTAACAGGACATTGGCAAACCAATTATATAGAAAAACACATTTCCAATGTGATAACAGTCTATTGATGCCTCAGGCATCCAAGCGTTGAATAATAACATTTTGTGACTATAGATAATTGGGCAGGGTAACTTAATTATACTTCAGCAGGTTTCGTGTATTGATAAATGATTCTGTATTCTAATAGAATTATGAGACACCAGTAAGACTCTAAGGGCTGTGAAACCAGTCCTTACTCAATTATAGAAGTAATTACACCAACACCATCTCTGGCAAAAGTTGCGATTAATTTAGTAAGAAAAATGTATGAGTACTTAATGTGTTGAGGTTATGTGACCTCAATTATGATAAGTAAAAATGGCTGGAAGTAGATTATATATTATATTATATATAATTGGTAATAGATGACATGACGATGGTAGTTGTGGAAATGTGTCAAATTGCATTTGAGTTAAAACAGTAATGACATTGAAGCATTGTTTGATAGAAGAATATTGTCGTTTGATAGTATAATATTAAGAAATGGTCACAAAAAGAAGTACATGTATAAATAAATACATTTTTATCCATAAATAAGAATGAAAGAGGCTTGATTTTAGTTGAAGAAGAAACAACATGAAATTAACATTAAAGTATGCACATATAATATGTCTTGTTCTAGTTCCATCTACAATACCAAATAACTTCTTAATCTAGTATTACCATTCCCTTACCCTAGGATAACCTAGACTCTATTTACACTCTTCAATTAAAAATCAACTCTTTAATCTAGCTCATATCCTACAGTATTTGAATACATTCCAACCCCCTATACCAAAAACAACCAAGAAATGAAAAAAAATTGGAATTAAATTTTACCTACACAGTGTATGTAGGAGTGTGTCAAATATCATGTAAATGATTTCCTCTTCCCTATACTCTAAAACCAACAACCCAGATTGTGTTTTACATGTAATACAAGATGAAAGAGCAGATAATAAGCTTAACATTCTACATCTGTATTATTCTACATGGCTTATAGAGGGATCAGTTTCCTATCCATTGAGTCAAAGTAATTGTTATTTATAAGTTCAACCCTATCACTTTTTCATTGAATTCTAATAATCCAAACTTGAGAAGAGTGTTTTAAATAACTAAGTAAGCAGATTCAAAGATTTTCCCTGAATTAATAAAAGAACGAAAAGATCAACATTTTAAATATATAATAATAAATATTAGACAATTATAACATGGCAAAATGTCAGACCCAAAGGGGGAGAAACACCAGGGTTCAAAGATGACATACACTTATAATGTAAATCTGTATTGAGATGACATCATCGCTGATTGGTCAAAAGTCGACAAACAAATGACTTCATCAATGGTGGTTTCAAAAATTTCGAAATACGCTTCGAATAATATTATGTTCATTTCTGCGTGTTAACCAATATCATCGCTTCTCATTTCACATCAAGATAAAGAAAGGTGTACGGAATATGCCTATATCAATTAAAACATCCCATCGAAGTGTAGTATTTGATAACTAGCTGATGAAAATTCGAACGAATGAAGGTGGTAAGCAAGAGACGTAATTATGTCTGTCATCTTTAAACTCTGGGGCTTTCCCTCCTCTTTGCCAGACCTGTAAAGGACGATTCTCGGTTTGGAGAACAGTCTCCTGGGCTAATAATTTTTTTCATGAAAAATATAAAAATATTACCCAAATTAAACTATGAACATTCAAAAGAGGACATTTAAATCTACAAGATGTAAAAATAACAAATTGGTCTAAAGCAGGGATAACGCTCAATTAGACCGATTCAATAAAATACAAGTCTCGATTTGGGGAAAGAAGTTCATCAGTGTACTGCGCTAATATTTTTTTGCGAAAAATCTAGAAATATTACCCAAATTAAATTATGACTATTCAAAAGAGGACATTCAAATCTATATTATGTAAAAAAATCAAATTTGTTCGAAGCAGGGATAATGCTCATTTAGATTGATGAACTTCGTTCTCCAAACCGAGAATCGTCCTTTGTCATCTAATAATAAATATTAAAAGCCATGATGATCTAAAGTTAGTAATTTTTGTTTGTGTTTTGAACATATCCAAAGTATGTTATAAAAATAGAATGGTAGAATGGTTTATATATATCATTAAGTTAGTTCAACCTCTACAAAACTCCCTAAAAAAGTTGAAACAACCTTTACCTTATACATGTACTATCAATGAATCTGATTTGTAAACATTGTTTTGAATTTTGCATACCTCGTCAAAGGCAAGAATTTCACTTTCTATACTCTAAATGACCAATTTTTCAATAGCTTTTGCATTGTACATATGATAATCTTTCAAAAAAGATCATTGTGCATACATGTTATGTACAGTATTTAAGGACATCTTGGACCAGTATTAATATATGTCATGATGTTTTTGAGGTTGAGACTGTCGACTTAATGAGAGCTTACAGCACATTTCAGCAAGTCGCTGGCAGAAATGAGTGGGAGATCTTTATTAAGATCTGATTATTATTGTTTCCTAATTCAGTCTATAATCAGGCATAATAGGGCGCACATTCCGATTATGACAGGTATTATTTCAATCTAGCATAATACTTGATAATAACGTGCGAAATAAATGTATATACAATGAATACTTTGAGTTTGCATCAATAATGTATGCATAGGTATCCAAGCATCAATGAATGATTAATGGAATACTGTTCTACTAAATTGCTATACAGGGACTAAATCTAGGCAATTGTGCATTGTACTGCAAGGTTTATTATCATTGTATAGAGGAATGCAACACTAGTGCAGGATACTTTATTAAATAGATTTATCAAGAGAATTTGTAAACACTTTATTTTGTCATAATGGTACAATACTCTTATGTGTTGCCCTGCACTTGTATGTTGCAGGATAATAAACAGTTCTTCATAGCTTTAATTATGTATGTACAGTATATACAGTATGTTATATATCATTTAAAAGTATGCAGTAAATTGTACAAATGGCTGCTTTTATCATGATAATTTTATACGAGTCAGTTTGTAAAATTTTACAAGTCTCTTTCAAAGAAGTGTGCATATTCATTTCAAAACTAAAATTTATTTCAAATTAAATATTCCATAAATCAGTGACTGTTCTACAGAAATTATCCCACGTTATAATTTCAAAGACAGGTGTGCAAATTATGGAAACAATAACAAAGGACAATAGTACTGCTACCACCTTTACTATTATAAAAAAGAATGAAAGGAAACTCATGAAACTTTACCCTTTTGAGGATTTAACTTGAGGGGATTGATCAATTCAAAGAAAAAGCAAATAAATCAAAACAAAGTCTTTAGAGTTAAAAGAACCAAGCGTATAGAATAACTCAATTACTGGCACGCTTCATCCTTCCCTGTTTGAACTAGACATTCACTCTTGTATTATTTGATAAAAATGGAAGCACGCGTAGAGCTAGAAATTTTGAATTGCAGTTTAAAGCAAACAATTTTGTTATTAATTTATTTGATCAGAGCTTGATTTACCGAAAGAGTTTAAAGTGCAATCGTAATTATGTTTCTCTGAACTCTCAAAGTAAAATCTTTGAAAATACAATCAGTGTGGTATAAATAAAAAATTAACTTATGACACACATGCAAATGTCATAATGACTTGGCCTAGGGCAATCACAGATTATATGTTATCATTGCATACACAGGTACACATATTTATCACAATGACATAGAGATACTCCTGCATGTATCTTCAGATATCCATTACATATCTTGAAATTGGTATGGAGTTTGCCTGGTACTGTCACTTTTTATATACATTTTTTCTCTTAATTTTTCACCAAATAAAGTAAAAAATTAAAGAGTTTTGAGACTCAGAGTTGTCTGTATTGACCTTTGTTTTAAAAGAGTTTGACTTTACATCTAAATGGAGAACTTTGTATGGTAGATTATTATTCTGCTTTGTTGGTTTCAGTGTTTTAGCATTTATAATGTAACTTCTTCATAGTTAAATGGGTTGATGGAATTGATAGACATTTTGCCTTAAAACACATGTGTAATGTTTTGTGAGTTGTAATGTTATGATACTATCAAATACTAAATATAGTATTGGCGAATTTAATTTTTATGCATTCATATAAATAATGTTTGATATCTATTATGTTCTGTCTATTAATGTAGTCCTTTAAGGCTTCAGGTTTCTTATATGTTTCCTGATCCTAAAAAAGTAACAACACTGTTGTTAGCTCACATGGTGAGCTTTTGCAATCGCTCACTTGTTTTATATTTTTACCCTCAAAAGTAACAATACTATTGTCCTTCATGTTCATGTTTCGTGATCATAAAAAGGTAAATATACTACATGCACTTTCATATTCTGCAGAGTGCTGAACAAAAATCAATAGAAATTATCCTGAAAAAGTGATCTGCTTAGGTATTTCTCTATTAGTCCATACAATAACACACTTTACTACAGACATTCAACACTACGATAAACTGTATTTCTTTACTCATAAAGTGTACATCTATATGCATCTATCATAATATAGTTTATCTTATGGCAGAACTCACCTTGAAAAAAGGGCACAGGTCTTTGCTTGGCTATTATCTCACTGATTATAAATGAGAATGCAATGACCATTGGCCATAATCTTCCTCCACTGATCATAATGATATAATGTCACAAATCTAACAGTGAAATAATTTGTTATATTACCATTGTTTAGGTATCAGATAATCCAATTTATCAAACTACATATTTCCTAATCTTATAATCCATTCAGTTAAACTGTTAAACCTACATCCCTTTATCACATGGAGGTCTCTCTCTCAGACTGAAGACACTTCCTAATCATTATCATTGATTAGATAAACTGGTCCACTATCAGGGGTGTTAGGGGTACAAATATGGACAAGTATGTGTGACATCTATAAGTGATGGTAAAAAATAAAATCAGGAAAATTTCTTTCATTGTTATTATTGTGCATTGTAGGTATTACCCTCTAGTGACCTCTTTTTTACAATGGTTGATTTATTCACAGTAATGTTGAGGTTAGCAAGAAAGGAGTTAATTTGAGTGGCTGAATTTCTTATACTCCAAGCTCTTTATAAAGATTTTCTGTAGGGGGAGGTGATTATACTAAACATGTACATGCCCAACCCATAAGTCGGTCTTTTTGGGCATTACTGGGCGTTTGTAGGCTAATGTTTTTTAATTTTGGGCCAAATCAACAAGAAAATGGACCTTATATTTTCAAAATTTAAGCCCAATTTTTTTTCCAAAACCTTTTTCAGACATGAAATGTGGCCCCCCTGCCTTTTCAGATCAGCCCCTGCGCACAGCCAATCTGCAAAATGCTGTACTGCACCATGGTTTCAAAGTTTGGATTGGGGCTAAGTGTTGTGGATTGACTTTGTAAAACCATTTTAAACCATACAATACATGGCCATAGCCAGTTTTCAGACAGGGGGAGGGGTACAACCACAAAATTTTACAAAAATTGATGCAACTTCCCTCAAAATTGAGCTAGAATCTTAAAATAAAAAGCATTTTAAAGCTCTTTTCTTCTCCACAAACCCCCCCCCCCCCCCCCTGGCTAGGCATATGCAATATGTCTGTTATATTAAACTAATGTGAAGCATCAATATCATGTGACTTTTATGTCATCTATAATTCTAAACATGTACTACCCTTAACTCATCAACTAATGCACTTTCTCTGTCTAGGCTAGGACCAATTATTTTATAGATTGACATTTAACTTCAACTCTGAGAAAAACATAGAAATACCCGCACTCTAATTGTATCAAATTTTCCAAAGAGGCAGATAAAGGGAGTCTGATAAAGGTGAATATAATAAAACTGCTAATATATTTACTTCAAACCAACACAAAATATAGCTAAAATGTTAGATCTGTTTCTGATTAATTGGTGACTTTAGATATATATCTTAATTAAAATTGTGAGACTTTAAAGTCAACTACTATCTTACAAAGGATATTAGACATTTCAACATTGGTTTAGACAACACAAGTGACATCTTTTTTTTTTATCAAAATGCTTTCTGTAACATCATAGGTGAAATCTACCAAAAATATCAAATTATCACCCCTATAAATATGCTCATTGGTTATGAAATTACTTTGATACCCATGTTGCTCAAGTGGATAGAGTGGATAACTTCAAATTCATTTCTGCTATGCTATTGTTCATTAATAGATGGCGCTTGTCATTCTTAGTTTTACTAGCTTTTGCGATACAGATGTAATATTACTTATGACATGATGAAGAACTATTCAAACAAAAGTTTTTTAAAAATCAATCTTATTTTCAATCATTATCAATACAAGATTTGTAAAAATTATAAATATGTTATTCATAATAAATGTTGTTTTTTTACTTTGAAGTAGATCATCATGTGATATTTGATAATCTTTATAGTTTACAAGGTCACAATTCAAATCATTCAACATCATGGTATAAAATGCTTTTATCCCAGTCCAGAATTCAATATGGGTTTTATACCTCAGTCAATATGACATAATATCACATTGGCCATGGTATAAAACCTATATTCAATCCCTCTCAGTGAATAACGACAATTCACCACTGAGGTAACAAGCCTCCACTATTTCCAAAGTTAAGAGAAGGGCCTGGTGAATCATAATGATATTTACCATTAGTGTAACTATAATAAACTATCAGCTGTTGAAATAAAACTGAAATAGGCAAAAGTGTTGGGCCAAATATGTGTTGATAAACAAGAAACGTGTGCAGAGGAAACAAAGACCAGAATCGCGAGAGTTGTTACTTCTAATACACCATGGTGTCTGGAAGGTTGTTTTGACTCAGAAAATACTTTCAAAAAATACAAACAAATTCCGAAAGCTCTCTAATAAATATTTACTCCCTCAAAAAGTTTGGCAACGAAAAGTCCCAATAAGATAGTTCATTAAATTGATATTGAATTCTAAATGTGTTCCTCAAATACAATAAATGAAAAATATGCAAATATTTTTGGTAACTTGATAAAATAAACAGGATTTGTGGGCCAAAATAGGACTTCGATTATTGCTAATTTGCGATCTTTTGTTGAAGAGTACAAATGAGAAGTACATGATACATGTATATGTACATGTACACTGTGATTTAACATTTGAAAAGACACTGTAAAATCAATAAGTCATGAATAGGTTTATCACATCACTTGAAAGAACTGTTTTGTCATTTATGCAAGGTTGGGATTATTTCTTTAATCAATGAACTTATGTGACAGACGCATTCATTTTCCTTCTTGTTTTAAGATAAAACACAAATACATTTAGGAGGAAACACTGCCATAAATGATGTCCACAAGCTTGTGTTTTTGTTTGCAGAACTGGTTATATTTGACAGAAATTCACAAATGAGGTTAGAATGTTCCAAACTAAATCACATCCACTAAATCAATCTGAGAAATTGTTGTTTGGCAAAATGGTGAACATTTATGAGAGTAGTCCTAAATAATGAATCGACAGTTATCTTCGCAATCTGGGTAAGATCAAACTCCTATTGAATCAATCAAATACATTAATAGAAGATAAATGCCTTTTTAAGTCCATAGGCTCCCCAGTAATCCTCGGTCATGTATGTGAAACCATGCATATGTAATTTGTGGTTAGATCGGGGACCCTGATTTCAATACAATGAAGATTGATGGGGAAATTAGATCAAAACACTCATTTGCTTATTAGAGGCAATAAAAACTGCTCTCTTGTATTTTCAAATTTGATAAAACATGCATTGATTTTACTATGTGAGGTCAAAATTTGTTTTCATGAAATAATCTTATTGGTGGGCTAGTAGTCTTCATCATGTTACTTTATCACATTATGTCATGTTATTATAGTATCATCCATTTATCAAAAGATTGAAGTTTAAATCATAAATTTCAGCCCCAATAAGAGATTCCTCTCAAAGACTGTATTTGGAGCTTTGGAGTATATTTCTCTCTAAATAGCACACAATATTATGTTGTTACTGCATGATCCATTTATTGGTTCTCCCTATTATTCTCTTGAATTATTGTGGTTTACTTTAATGGGTTTAATAGGCTAACATTAAATGACCTAAATGGGCTTCATGGATTATTCTTAATTTTCTATTTTGGGTTGTTTGTGAAATGCCATGGAAATTTATTTCGGGAAACATTTCAACTTCCCTGCTTCATAGAATAAACTTACTTTCCTCAATTCAATTATTGTTTACTTCCATTAGTTCCAGTTCCATTTACTTGGCGTCTCTAAACTATGTATTGTCGAAGGAACAACTTTCAATTCTTGTTTCATCTTGGATTTTGAATGCTCAAAATCAATCTTTAAAGACATAACAACGCAGAAATTGGATAAGCCAAAAAGGTGTCAGATCAACTCACGTATAATTATGCCAAAAACATGACAAGTAATTATGGAAAGAAAAGAATATTAGAGGATTTTTCAATACATGTATTATGCAAGGAATTGAATCAAACTATTAATCAAATTCTGATTCTTCGAAAGTTCAATTGACCAAGACCATGAGCTGTAGTGATGATTAAACTGGTTGTTTGATCTTAAAGATGATGGAGAGATCCATTCTAGATGTTATTTATCATCTGTCATATTTCATCCTACAAGTCAAGAAAGAAACAATATTACCAAGAAAGAATTAAAGCTTTACCACAAGAAAGCAAACATTTCTACAAATTGCAATTCCTCATTTACCATAACCAAATAATATCTGTAAATAGTCATTCTTGATTTTTAATTTCTTGCGATTGCATCCTGTCATCAATATACATTAATAGAATCACCACTGTCAGAGTGTATGAAAAATAACTAGACAACAGCAACGCCAAATCGTAGCAAATCCCATCAAACAGCTAGGCTGCCATTTTTACAAAATCCTTCTGCTACAGTCTCAGTTATAGCAAAAATTCAAAATGACAACCTTTTAGCCAAAGTGTCAGAAAACAGTGTGCCATACTTATGAGTATTCACACATCAAATATGAACAAAATCGCTCTATTGCTTTTTTGTGTTATAGTAAACAAGGCACAGAACAATATCGTACCTAAAACACAGCATTGTGGTCTTGTTGACCAAGAAAGCAAGATGGCCGCAGAAAAGTTAATCAGCTCTAGAACTTATCACTGTGTAACATATGTAAAAATTTGAACGGTTTGGCTGGAAACCTGTAGACAAGTCTTGAAAGTAAAGATTTTAGGACGGAAAATCCAAAATGGCCACCTTAGAATTTACCCAGAATGCCCAAAAACTAATCAGTTCTTGACGTTGATATGTAGAAACATCCCTGAAAATTTCAGATGAATCCCTCAAATGGTTTGGCTGAAAACCTGTAGACAAGTCTTGAAAGTGAAGATTTTAGGACAGAAAATCCAAAATGGCCACCTTAAAATTACCCAGAATGCCCAAAAGCTAATCAGTTCTTGACGTTAATATGTAGAAACATCCCTGAAAATTTCAGATGAATCCCTCAAATGGTTTGGCTGGAAACCTGTAGACAAGCTGAAAAGTGAGACGCCGCCCGCCCGCCGCCCGCCCGCCCGCCGCCCGTCAAGCTGACTACAATATCGTACCTCTTGTTAGGTACGATAAAAACGTAAAATAACACAAGAAAAAAATAGCGGCCATTTTGAAAATGGTTACTCACTTGCCAAATTATCATAAGACAGTGTACCATGCTTATGAATATTCACATATCAAATATGAACAAAATCGCTCTATCTCTTTTTGAGTTATAGTAAAAAACATAAAATAGCACAAGTAAAAATGGCGGTCATTTTCAAAATGGTCGCTCACTAGCCAAATTAT